TGCGCTGTGCTGATCCCTCGAGCTACCCTCAGGCCCATCAGATGGCTGACGCAGCCTATTGTCACACTGGAGCTTATAATTACACAGCATTCATGTGCTCATATTTTGCTTTTGTTTTTGTTTTGTTGTTTTGTTTGTTTTTTTGTTTTTGTTTTTGCTTTTGCAGAACTGGGGGTTGGACTCAGGCCCTTGCTCTTGCCAGGCAAGCGCTTATTCTACTGAGCTAGCTCCCTGGCTTATGTGATTAACATTTACTTCCCAGCTAGTAAATGAGCTTGGTGAGAGCCAGGACTGACTTGTGTTCTCCACCATATGCCTTCTTACTTCTTAAGATTAAAGCTGAATATTTTTTAAAGATTTTTTAAAATTTAAAAATAATTGTTATCAAACAATAATTCCCTTTTTTGCTTCTTCCATATTCTAAAGCCAAAAAAAATGCCTTGTTTGATTAATCCTCCTCTACTGAGCTGCATCACATTGAATACATACCTTTCGTAGGAGGTCGAGAAGGGAATTCTTTTTTGTGCTATTTAAGCTGAAGGAAATTTATTCTTTGTGCTATTTTTCTAAGGATTATCACTCCACCAGGTGCACAGATTTTAAAATATTTTTGAACACTTCCAGGCGTGCTTAACATTTGGTCGACTTATCCTAATAATCTGAAAAGAACCTCAATGTTTCAGTTCTCTGGTCTCTAACTAAAGTAAGATGCTGGACCACGTGGCCTCAGTAGATCCTCCTGGGGTCGCCCTAAAGGAACACAAGGCATTCCTGAGTTGTGCTGCTCAGAAAGAAAGGATGCGTTTGTTACTCGTGAAAACAGCTTGTGGTTTCAGGCGCTGCCAGGGCAAAGGCTTCAAGAGTTCAGGCAGAAGCGGTGGCCAGGGCAGAGCAGTCCTCGAGCCTCCAGGAGGCCTTGGGCTCACTCCCTAAAAAAAAAAACTGCGCCGTCAGACAGAGTGGCAATTTCATTTCATTTCCAGGTACACAACAAGAAAATGAATTTACAGACCAGGGTGGGTAAATCAAGGCAAATCTACAAGGGCGTCAGCTTTTATTATCAAAATATGACAGAGAAGAAAGAATATAAATTGTCTAGCAAAATACATAACATTTCTTGTGGAGATGTACAGCAAAAGATGTTCAGAAACGGCTAACAGGAAAGCTGATAAAATAAGAACAAGATAGCCTTTTGGAGGATATTTCTAGATAATCTCTCAAAGCTTTAGAAAAAAAATTAGATGTAGTCAGTGACACATCCACATCCCCTGCTGGCCAGCCAGCACGACATAGCAATGATTCGGGGACACAATTTGGGAATACAGATGAACGTCTTGAAACATATTCATGCACTTTTGAATGAGAAATTCTACACTTACAAATGTAGCCTACAACCTACAGATCATTAGATACACATATATGTATATTTACATAAGTGTTCAACGCAATGTTTTTTGGGTTTTTTTTTTTTTTTTAATAGTAATAGCTTAGAGATAACCAAAATAGAGAACTGGGGCAGGCCAAATAGCTCAACGGATTAAAGCACCTGCTTAGGCAGATGCAGGGTCCGGGAGTTCAATCCCAGACCTATCAGGCTGGCCCCGCCCCCGGGCGCCCTGAGGAGGCAATTGAGACTGGGTGTGATGGCTCGCACCTGTAATCCCAGCATTTGGGAGACTGTAAACAGGAGGATCACTACGAGTCCTATCTACGCAATGAGACCCTGTCCACCCTGTCCATCCTGTCCACCCTGTCCACCCTGTCCATCCTGTCCATCCTGTCCACCCTGCCCTAAAATACAAAAAAAGAGAGAACTAATTAAACATATTTACAAATCATTAAAATAATTGTTTTGCTCTACATTATTAATATGTAAAGATCTAATATACTAATCAAAATAAAGATATCTTCACTGGATAAAAGCAAGTTTAGAAGTAATACATAAATCCGTTTAATTTAAAGCATGTGAATTTCACTGTTTAATTTTACCTCAAGAAGTAAAAATTATAATAACCCAGATTATGATACACATTTTAAGTGTTGATATCTTCAGTAATCCAGAGCTGCTACTTTTAAATGCTTCAAATGATAAGATAGATTGATAGATGGGCAGAAAATTGAATAAGTAGAAAGATATATTAGAGCAAATATTAAAAATTTTTAATTGTGAAGAAACCATCTATAAAGTGGTTGCCTATTTCAGTTGTTGGTACTCTTGTTTGATTTTTTTTATTTTTTATTCATTTATTTATTTGGTTCAGGGTCTTTCTATGCAGCTAAGACTCATGGTAATCCTCTTATCTGAGCCTCCCCAGTGCTAGAATTACAGGTGTGAGCCACATGCCCAGTTTCAGTGGCCTGAACAGAGCGCACAAGGATCCAGGCTGGCACAGCATGCAGTAGGGGGATCGAACCCTGGACCTTGTGCTTGCCAGGCAGGCACTTAAACCACTGAGCTATCTCCCCAGCCCAGTTATTTGTACTTTTGAAAACACTTGCTAGTCTAAATTTCCTTGGGGCCAGCAAGACAGCTCAGCAGACTAAAGCACCTATTTAGGCAAGCATAGGGACTGTGGTTGGATCCCCAGCATTTCATGCTACGCCAGCCTCACCCCTGGGGCAGGCTGAGCCGGCTGGAGTCCGGATGTAGTGGTGCAGGCCTGTAATCCCAGGGCTGGGGAGGCTGAAAGCCAGAGGATAACCACGAGTCCCAACTGCATAGCGAGACCCTGCAACAACCAAATACATTAAAAAAAAAAACCCTAAAAGACTGAAATTATAGAAATGGAGTGAAGAAAAGGAAATAGAAAGGCAAAATGTCGAAAGAGCTCATTCGTGGGTCCTCTTTTTGCTTTTTTCCAGTTCTGTGTGTTCCCCCCATAAGTGCACATAAGTTTCTCTTTTTTTATATATAACTTTGGATTTATTTAAGTTTTGTATTTTATTTTATTTGTTTGTTTATTTGTTTTGTTTCATTTTTTGCTGTACAAGGGATCAAACTCAGGACCCCAGGCTTGCCAGGCAGATGCTTAAGCGCTGAGCGATCTCTCCAACCCTAAGTACTCGTTTCAAATTTCATCATTTCAAAATAGAAAATTGTCACAGAGATGCCCATTTGTTTTCCAGGGTCCATTCAGCCCTTCATCCTTGATAATGAATCTCCAGTGCTGTGAGAGGGCCCAGGGCTGGCCAGCTGGCCACAGTGCCACACGCCTGTCCATTCTGCATGGCCACATGCCTGGCTTGGCTGAGCTGAGGCTGTACTACGCCACGGAGAAGCACCCTCTTGGAGGGTGGCAGCCTTCTTGGCAGGGCAGAGCAAAGCATCCTGGGTCTCCAGCACCACACAACCACCCCCAAGACCTGGCTGCACCTCTAGCGCTACTTTTTGGGGAGAAAAGTAGCACACGTCTCGACTAAGCCATTGTTCCAGATCTTTGTTGCCCACAGTTGAGCACATCCTGCCTCGTATAACTCGGCGCATTTTGAAAATATTAACAATTTTAGAAGTACTCTTGTTCTTTACAATCTAGATTTCTTAACATATAGGTTCAAATGCTGCAAATAAAATGAAAATGGAAAGGGAGTACTGTCTCAGAATAAGCCTACGCTCAGAGAATTGAAGGCTAAAATATGAAGCTAAGTCCAGGTACAAGTCCATAGAGAGCGCCTTCATGCGAGATGCAAGCAGCCATACGCAGCGGGTCCGTCACCAGCGCTTGCCCTGCGACTGTGAGCACCGCCTGACACTGTCTTTCCAGTCAGCAGCATCGTCAGGAAAAGGAACGCAGCTGGCGAGTGAAGATGGGGCAGGGGTGGGCCCGACTGGCTGGCCACGGCAGCCACCATGGCGGAGCTGGGTGAGCCTGAGGCCTGCGTGCCTGGGGACGGTACCGGGGCACGCAGAAGAGAAAGAGAAATCCGAGGAAGCAAAAGACAAACACTTCACCACCTTTGCACTTTGCCCAGGGGTCTCCTTGTCACCAAATTACATCACAACATCTGTCAAAAATAATATCAAATGATTTATCCAATGTCTCACAGTAAATAACAATACACCATACTGAACGCTATACAGTACTGAAATAATAATACACAGTATTAAAGAAACTAGATACAAAGATGGAGATTTCATTTTAAAAGCAATTTCAACTCCAACAATAAAAAATCTTGTCATCTGATGTCGAGAAAACAATGGCATGAAAATCTACGCTGGAAGGTGCTGCTGAGGGACCCATTTCGTGCTCACATCTGCCTGTAACACAGCAGCTGAGTGGTTGTGAAGTCCCACAGGGATTCCTTGGCCCAAAGTGAGGCCACCTACTGCCGATAGGGGCGTGTGCAGCAGGCCCCGATGCAGGCCCAGGCAGCAGAAAGACCCCATTTTCCCACTAAACTCTTTCCATTGCTGTTGGCGCTGGTTTTGGCACCTTCCAGGAACAGAACAAAGAGGGTGAAAGCACGGGTTAGATTGTCAGACAAATGCCCGAGAGAGACCTTGTCACTCCCCAATTTTTCCTCTGCATTGAAAAATAGGGTCTGTTTCTGGTCTTCTGAATTCGGGCTGCTTGTCATTACATGCCAGTTGTTGCTGTGCTGTCTCTCGAGTAGATGATTGTTCAAAAAGAAGGGGGTGGTGAATGAAGGCAAAGATAGGAAAAGGAATATTGTGGGACTGTCCTGCTTCAAGATTGTATATGGTTAGATTTTTGGACTTATGTGTAAACATAAGAAGTATATAATTCTTTATGCCTATTTTTTAAAATAGATTCTAATTTTTAAATGTTTTTTCATCATATTCTATAGGGACTTAAAGTTCAACATATCAATACTTGATGAAAAATACCTGTTCCATGTTAGGCCTAAGATGTTTGATATTCAGACAGATAGTGACGTTAAACTTAACAGCCTAGGTTGTATGGTAGTGACAATAAGCTTGTCTTCTGGATGGTTAACAACCTAAGTTTGCTGACCAAAATTAGAGAAAAAGGAGGGCCGCAAGGAAAGCCAACATTTTGGCCCTAGCCTTCCAAGGTCACTTAAGACTCAGGACATATGAGAACTTGTACTGTAACGTCACGTAACTCAGTAATGTCCCAAATCTTCTGATCAAGGAGATTATGGGGCCAAAGAGGAAAGTGATGGATGATGTAGAGTGTGCCTAAGGAAAGTCACATGGAGAGAAAACATTCTCTCAGGCTTTCACAGAGAGCACATTGGCCAAGCATTGGCCGTGACTCATCCACATGGCTGACACTGACAAAGGTTCTACAATCTGAGGTACAGGATCTCAGGATAAATCCTGAGGGGATTTCACTGACCTTCTCAGACCAAAAAACTACAACTCTTGTTGCATAGGTCCTGCTTTACCAGCAGAAAAGTATAAAACTGAAGTATAAGAAGTAAAGCCATGCTGTTATGTGGAGCTGTAGGGGACTCAAGTCAATTTCTGACATTGCCAGTCAAGCGGAAGACCCAATACTATTATGGACCTCTGAACTCTTTTAGAATATTTTGCTCAGTTTACACACCTATAATATTTAAATGATATAACTTAACAAAAAAAGGTATACAGATGAATGTCCATTTGGTATCTGTGCATTCAAAGTGGTTAGGTTAGATATATAGTTACATTCTCTTAATGAATAGAGGGATTTGTTCTAATGGTGTTTGTAAATAGGATATCAAGTCCGCATCTTGTACAGCAATTAACCACTAGGAAGAATGTATGCAATGTGTTAATTATTGAAACTGTCCTACCAATTTGGTTTGAAACTGTGTCATTGCTATTTGTTTCTCAATAAAATTATGGAAAAAAAAGAATGGGAAGAACATACACAAACATTAAAAAAAATAAATTTCTATTCTTTGAAAAAAAGAAAAATAGGGTCTGTGACAGGGCAGCCTGTGTGCCCTTCTCAGTGCCTGGGAACACTCAAGGCCCAGCCTGGCTCAAGCCTGCAGGGCATCTCCTGGCTGCCCTGTTTTTAATGAATAGAATGATTTGTTCTAATGGTGTTTGTAAATAGTATCTCAAGTCCACATCTTGTACAGCAATTAACCACTAAGAAGAATGTATGTAGTGTGTTAGTTATTGAAATTGTCCTACCAATTTGATTTGAAACTGTCTCATTGCTATTTGTTTATCAATAAAATTATGAAAAAAATATAAATAAATAAATAAATAAATAAATAAAAATGAAACACGGCGGAATGGCCCCAGCTCCGAGCCACGCCTCCTCACCCCCACTTACAGACCCGGCTGTACCCCCACACCCTTGCTGCAGATACTGACAGTTAGAGCATTGTGAACACCTGTTCATCAGGAGGGGATGCTGCAGCACCCCGTGTAGCAAGCTCCCTAATAAATGTGAGGGACCCACTACTGTGCTCAGTATTGCTTTTCCTTTTTCTGGGGGTTGAACCCAGCATCTTCTTTGTTTGTAATTTTGAGACAAGATCTTGCAAAATTGCTCAGCCTCATCTTGATCTTGGGATTCTCCTGCTCAGCCTCCCAGGGAGCAGGACTACAGGTGCTTTCTTCGTGACCCCAGCCAGCTCATCTCAGAACAGCAGGAGACCTCCCTTGGGAAAATTCCCCCGCTGCCACTTTGGAGAGATGTGTTAGGCATTTGTGGTGACTGAGACTGAATATCTGATAGCTATAATTTAAAATCAAGGAGGTTCACTTTGACTCGTGATTTCAGCATGTTCAGACCATGGCTGGCTGGCTCCGGGGCAGAGGAGCTGGGCATGGGCACTGTGGAGGCCAGCTGCTTGCCCCACAGTGGCCAGGAGGCAAGAGGCCAGGGAGGCTATGCCAGGCACAGCTCCTGCCAGGTCATGCAGTGGGCACCTCTGAGCAGCACATCAGCTTTCCCCCGATGAGTGACCCTCCGTGACCTATCACCCTCCCCAAGCTCTACCCCTGATCACACGAGACTTCAGGGAGATATGTTAGATTTAAGCCATAACTGAGTCATTCCAGGCATGCGGGAACAGCACAGGTCTAGAGACAAAAACCAATGATAGGAAAAATTAAAGAGGAAAAAGCCTGTGGTGTCTAAGAATCATGAAGTAAGGCTGAAAAAAGACAGCTCATGGGAAAGGATACGGGCTGCAAGGTGAGAAAAACCCAGATGGGGGCCTGGCTATCCTTGGCTTCTGGGGATTGGGACACTCTGACAAGTGGTGCAACTAAACTGACTGGAGTGTTCACTTAGAGGCGCACTGTAGAAAACAGCTACTTGTGACTAGTCCACTACTGATTGGAAGTAACACGTTAGAAGTGATGTTTGTTATGAATTCAATCAGAGTGGAATTAGGTGTCACGTAAGGTTCGTTACAGAAGTTCAAAAGCCTCATTAATGAGCTTGGTCTACACACAACAGGACAGGATCCCATCATCCTTGAGGGCGAAAAATGTTAAGCCAGCTCAAGCACTTTACAGGAAGGCTTCTTGGAACCCTTCTTTGCCCACGTACTCCACAGTCATGAGGGGCACATAGTACACAGGGCTCCTTGGTCCATTTTATCTCAGGACACCATGATGAGAAGCAGCTCAAGACAGAAAGATCTCCTGGTTCACTTTGTGTAACACTCACTCCGAGTATAAGGACTTTTGCCGGAGCTTACTTTGTTTTAAAACAATCATTAAACATCTACCAGTATCTGAAGATACTTGTGTTTTGCAAATACCTGGGCCCTGGTCCCTCCCAGAAAGCAAAGG